GAGAGAGAGAGAGAGAGAGAGAGAGAGAGAGAGAGAGAGAGAGAGAGAGATTCCTAGAGCCTTGGGCTTTTGTTGTTGCTTTGTTTACACGTAGTTAACCCGGAGGAGCTGAGAGATCCACAGTGAAGATGGAAGAGATAATTTTAATTTCGAAAAATAAAAGTAACACACACTCTCTCTCCGTAGGGTCGGGCAATCCTGCTCGCACACTTAGAAATGAAAGCATCTGAAGGAGGGGCGAGGCAGGGGCAGCAGCAGCAGGGAGCGTCGTCGGTAACTGAAGGGGCTCTGGTGAATTTCAGGTTCGGATTAGTGACAACTCAGAAGTCTCGCCGGCGGGTGGGGGAGGGAAGTTTGCCAAGGTCTCTGAACTCGGTGGAGAGAGGGCAGCTTCTCAAGGCGCCGGGCGGAACTGGGCGTACCAGAAGCCCCTGTCCTGGCCGATCCAGCAGCTCGGTCTCACCCCCACCCCTAGCCTGACTTTGTCAGCGATCATAAAATGGGAATTGATCATTCGAGCCACCATTGATTAGGGAAGAATGCTTACTGCAGCAGCAGGGGAAAGGTTAAGAGGAAATTGACCTTCTCCGTAGGTGACATAAAGTCATTAGGTAAATGAGATATTCACACTGGAGTTTTAAAAGGTCATGCTCAATTTTTATTTGCAGCCTGAAAAGTCAAACTGGAGCTCCGGCTTAGGGCAGGGACTTCCACTCCAGGGGACCTGGGCACCGACCGGAATGAAGTCCTGCTGCGCCGGCCAGAGGCGAAAGTGGGATGTGGATTGCAGTCTGGAAAAATTAGGCTGGACTCGGATCCTTGCGGCCCCAGCTGTGGACCAGCGCCTGACCCGAGCGCATCCCTGAGTGTGAGTGCGCGTCCTTCCAGTTCTGCGATGCGCTCCCGCAGCCCGGGATTCCCATGGCCCGAGCACGTAAAGGGACGTCCGGCCGAAACCGACTCCTCAGCATCAGCAACACTTCCCTTTCCCGCATCCACTATGTCTCGCACACAGTGAAAGTGTTTTCTTCTTGTTGTTGTTTTAAAGAAGAGAGTGAGAGGGATATTTATGCACATATTTATCCCTCTAATTACAGGAATTAATCCTCTTATGACTAAAAGGTAACGTGGAAGGACGTCCTTTTGATGTGGAAAAGCACCATTTGTGACTCACATTCAGACTGATTAAGGAATAATTGTTGTTAAACGCTTTGCAAGAGGAAAGTGTTTAATTGAGGGGCATTCGTAATTTTACGGCTTAGTGCAAAATTAAACGTAATTAAAAACTCAGAAATTCCAACTGATTTTCCAATTATTTTTATTGTCTGAGCTAATTGTTACACAAGGGTATCTCTTCTCCCCAAAGGCATTGGGATAGAGACGGGGAGGAGCGGGGGGGCGGGGGGGGGGATAAGGCAATCATACCTTGTCCAAATATTCTCCAACTGGAGACTCCAGCGTCCAGAAAGACCTTTCCTGGGTTGCATCTTACCTCCGCAACCCCTGCCCGGGATCCCAGGAGGCACCCCGCCCTCCCCCTGCAATTACGCATGCAGCCCCTCTCCCCTTCTTCGCTCCAGTTCCGCCAACACCTTGGGATGTGAGAAAGTGGTGGCAGTTCTCTTCTGCAGATCATTACAGCAAACCTGGAAGTATCTGGAGAGGGCCGATGAATTTCTTCAAGCAACACTTGTCATACACAGCCGAGAGATTAAAAAAAAAAAAAAAGCGAGTAAACACGGCTCTCTGGGGGCCATCTCTCCACGCCCTTGCCTGGGGAGCGGGGGTGGGGGTGGGGGGAGGTGTAACGCACAAACCCTGACTCCAAGATGTTTATACACGCGCTCACTACTACGACCTACAAATGCAAGCAGCAAACTTTCTTTTGCCTTGCACTTTGCACTTATTTACTTACTTATTTATTCGAGGCAAGGATGAGTATAGGGACGCTGAGATTTTTTTTTTAAACCATCTTTGTATGTGTAGCTTCTTTGAATGTCCAAACAGACCTATTTAAATACATTCAAAAGATAATGAAAGTGCTTTAGGTTTACTAAAACAACATCACATCCTTACCTACCAGACTTCGCTGGAATCCTGGGGGTGGGGGTAGGGAGGATGAAAAGCACACGATTAGGGAGAATGTGAATTTATAAATTTCAATTAGTCTAGACTAATTGTACAGAGCACTGAAATGTTTGCGTTTCAATATGAGAGTTTAATTTCTCTGGGATTTTTAGGATAGAGATAATCGAATTCACCCTATCTGCTTTTCTAATGCCCCACCCCATAAAATAAATGAGTGCCTCTGATCTGACGTGCTACGTGAAAATGGGTAGAATTAAAACTGTCAGTTCTGCTCACAACCTGTGTCTTTCGATGGAGTTCAAAAGCTTTTAAAGGTAAAACGTGCAGATCACTTATGTGTGTTATTTCCTCTCCTACCATCGCCAGCTTTTAAGTAAAAAAAAGGAAAGAAAAAGGTATTTTTACTCCTACATTCATTTTCCTTGGAAGACTTCAATCTTTCCGGTAATTTAACGGTGGAGTCTAGGTTTACCTGAGGGTGGCCAAGAAGGTCGGGTGGGATCTGCATTACCCAGTTGTCCTACCCAAGTGCTGTATTTTGTAGCTAGAATGCGGTGTTTGCATGGCTCCAGCACTGTCTTGGAGAAAAGGTTATGTTAGGCATAGTTGGGCAAAAAGGAGGGAATGCCTCTTCCAAAGTTAGAAATGGTGAAAAAGGCGTGGAATCTGCCCTGGAAATTTGAGCAGAAGAAGCAGGTGCCCACTTCAGCTTAGGCAAAGATTGCAGAATCCTTTGAAGAAACTGACAGGGATTTTCCAGAGATGGGGTGGGAGTGAGGGGAATCCTAGGGTGGGCATTTTATGCAAATGATCAAATTTGAAATGTAGTACAAATCCGGGATAGTAAAACTGACAGTTCTGACAGTATTGACAACATAAATATATGTTTGAACAGCGCACTTTCAGACACTTAACCGATGAAGCAATAAAAAAAAATTCGACTACAATATTTCAGATAATCGACATTGATGTTTTGATACATCATTTTTATCCTCTGAATCGATCTATCACACTCAGGCTGGTCAATTTTAAGTAAAAATGGGCAGCAATTATTTGCACGTTGACTAATGATGACCTAATAACAATCTTCAATTAATTACACCCAAACTGTGCCTCCTTCCCTCAGCAATGGGAGCGGGAGCAAATCTTCACCCTCCCTGCACTTTTCCATTCTATTTTGCCATTTTTTTTTTAATAGAGAGGGGTCCAGATTTAAGACTCTTTGGTTCAGAATACTTACAATGGCAAAGTTTCTAACACCTGTACTAGCCACCGTCTAGGTACGTCAGGGGATGTGGCCTCCTTCTACTTCAAAGCAAGAACTGGCTCTTAGGAAACACATTCGTAACTCGCCTCCGGCCCCCTGTGTCCCAGCGTTTGGAGTAAGTGGAAGACGCTTGCTTAAAGCAAAGAGTGGAGGTTTCTCTCAGGCTGAGTGTGAGGGGAAGGGAGGGAGGAAAGGATGAGAGGGAGAATGAGGGAAACAGAAAGAAGGGAGGGAGCAAGAGGGAGAGGGGAGAGGAAAAGAAACGGAGAATATGGATGAACATAGCAGCAGCCCTGTGGTGCGGCACCTGGCAGGTTTGAGCGTCTACCTTGGTCTCTGTCTCCACTAACCTCTGCTCACACCGCAGGGTGTTTATAGGCTACCGAAAGATGCACGCGACCCGGGTTTAAGCACCTCTGGCTTCCTCGCACGGTGTGTGTTGGCTCGCTCTGCTCTGTGGGTTTTCCTGGGGGGGGGGCCTTTCCTACTCCTACTTTGACACTTCTCTCTAGACTGTGCGTGTGTTTGGTGGGGATAAAACTGGTTAACTGGGGAGGAGGAAATGGGCAGGCTCCTTGGATGGATGCAGACTGCAGACTGAGGCGGTCCCTTGGAAAGATAGATACTGGGGTGAAGAGAGCACGTGTTCCACCGAAGCCCCACTCCTCAAGCAAAGGCTTGGTCCCCTGCCCTGCTGTCACGTCCCTGAGAAGCCCCCTTCCACTGGCACCGGGCGCCGCGGGCTTCAGACTTCCAACTTAGCCCCGCAGTGCTAGCCCGGCTGTACGAGCGAGCGGGAATCCCAGTGTCTTGTTTCTTTCCAGCAAACTTCCCAATGGTAGGTTTAAGTCACTTCAAAACACCGCCCCGCGAAGATCGTGGGACTTGTCAAGGCGTGTAACAACGCTAAGGTGCTCATTAATGGGAGAAGATGGACTTGAGCCACGCTGATCAGGACTGGAAAGCCTGCAAGATCAGAGTGGCCGGACTGCCATCGAGTTGCAAGGGCTAAGGTGCTGGCCGGTGCAGGCCCGCTGTCTGCACTGGATACTGTAATAAAGACTAGAAAAAGGACAGAAGGAGCAAAGAAGGAAACTGGAAATAGGGTACAGAGAGCAGAAGAGACAAGAGACAGAGGAAGAGGGAAGGAGAAGGGCGCGGGAAGGAGAAATTGACAGCGCCGATGTGCTCGGCGCGTTTGGAGCCCCGCCAGATAGCGCTAGAGGGCTATTTATTGAAACTCGCTCTTGCCGCGACACAGGGAAACAGCTAAAATTGGAAGAAATTAGACAGGAAAACAGCAAAATGCAGCAATTCTACTCCGTCCTATTTTTAAAAACTGTAGGTTGCTTTAATAGTATTATTTTCAGGGAGAAAAGTCTATAATAGAACACCAAGGCGTAAAAGCGCAAAAAAAAAATAAATAAAAATAAACACAAAACAAAAGCAAAAATCAATAAGGTGGTGGTGGGGACAGGGGACAGGGGACAGGGGCTCCCTCCCTCTGAGGATGCCATCTAGAAAGAACATGAACCAAGGTAACAGGTAAGGAAGTGAGCAGAATTCTTTCTACTCTAACTTTTCGGTTATACAGCCGAGGTCAAAAACAGTTCACAAGGAAGAAGGGAGGTTTAAGGAGAAGAGATGTTTTAACAGTAATAAGGGGCTCCCAGGGGTGGAGCGGTGGGATCAACACATTATTAGAAATACCAAATAAAATATACATATAAAAAATTCCCACTGTCAGTCGGCAGGACCAGGGCAGAAGACAACCCCTGTGCCTTTGTCCCAATAACAGGCTCAGGGCTGTTTCTGCAGGGCCACAGAATCCTTGGAGAACAGTCTGCAAACACCCTGGGAAGCCCGGAGAAAGGAGGACTTCAAAAACTCACCCTCCTTTAGAACCCGAAGGAAGGAAAGAAGTGTGGATGGAATAGAAAGCCTGGGAACAGAGGTGGAGGACAGAAGAGAAAGAGCCAATGGATGGTGTGTTTTGAGGATTTTTTTTTTTTTTGGCTTGCTAGGTTCAGTAATCCAAGGAAATAAATATCCTTTATGATACTTTACTTTTAAATATCAACTTTGTTTTGTCAAAAAAAAAAAAAGAAAAAAAAGAAAAAGAAAAAAACCCTGGCGTTTCTCATGTTTAGCCTCCTTATTTAACCCTGAACTCTCCCTTTGACCCAGTGAAATCCCTCTTAAGTCAAAGGAGTAAGTTATCTTTCTTCAAATTGAGGAACAGAGCCTCCCCAAATCAAACATAATCTCAGTTTTTTTTTTCTTACATAAAAGTCTCCTTGATACAAAATATTCCAAATCAAAACATTAACTAAAGTTGCAAACAAGATTAAGGCTGGATTTACTTGCTCTTGTAGTAAAGCATCAATTGTTCTAACTGTTGTAAAGAAGACAAAAGGGATTTAAATCTGGTGATTTTAATACACAGATTAACACTTCAGGACCTCACGGTTCTGAGGAATTTGGAATTATCTATGCAGAGGATCTGGAAATTGGCGGTGGTGGTGGTGGTGGGGGGGACATATAAAAAGAACAGCCACATATACCACCTCAAGAAGCCTGAACAAGTTCAGCTGAAATAAAGTTCCAGTTTATAAATGCTACTTCAAATGAACTCCCCTCCCGAAAGCCAATGCCATTGGACTACAGAACTAGGGGCTTACATTATTCTTTGAAATCCTTAATGTTACCTATAGTAACATTCCACAAGGGATCAAAAGAAGAAAAGGAGAAATAGAAAGAAGTGCTTTTCAGAAGTCTAGGGGATGCTTCAATAAGAAAGGGGTGATTAAAAACAGACTCTTAAATTTGAGAGGCCCAATTCTCCTTCTTCACCCCCCTTCGGTCCTCCCCCCCCCTTTCACCTCCTTTTTAATTCAATGTTCCCACCCCCCACTCCAGAGCTAAGTAGCTGATTTGGGATTGTGAAGAAATAGGTTTTACCAACCATATTTGTTCTGGGGCACTTGTAAAATGCGATTTGTAGAGAGTCTTTAGCCTTCTGATTGTCTTTGAATTGTTTTTACTGAAACAGATCTTTTGCAGTTAATGAGTCCCCACACAGCTGGACAGCTCCTCACGGACACTGAGAACTCTAACCCCAAAATGACCCCAATTTGACACCGCAAGATGAAATTTTACCGCCTGTTAAAACCATTTCCAGCCTGGCAGGAGGAGCTGACTGTTGACTGAGGTGTGCGCGGCGCCTGTGACCCCCCATCTCTTGTTTGTCTCTGGGGCTACCCCACCTATTTCCCTTCACCTCAAATGTGGGGGAGTAAATTAATCCACAGCCAGGGTGTGGAGTGCGGAGCTCTGAAAACAAGGTGTCCACACAGACAGAAAAGAGAAAGTGTGGCCGCCTCGCTTCTGTGGGATGGCTTCCACCAAACAGGGAAATCAAGGGTGGAAAACAGAGGCAATCCTTAGCTGGAAGAACCCTCTGCAGCTGTATTAATAAAGCACCCACAAGCTGTTGATAATCACAATCCTTTGAAGTCATCACAGCCATCAGGAGAGATACCCTGAATCAACTGGAGCTTGATCTCCTGTGCAAGGCACCCCAGAGGTGGATTTTAAAACTCACATGTAAACTAACAGTTTCACCAAAAGCATGCATCTGAGTAACAAATCCTTTTTTAGTTACTAGGAAACAGTGTCTCCTTTTAGGTAAAGTGAATTTCAAAGTCATACAGATGTTCTTCAGTAGTGTGCTATTTTCAACCGTCCCACACTTCTTAACTAAAAATCTCCCACGTTAAAAATTGTTTCTTTTTTGAAAATACCTTAAAATACCCTTCCTTTCTGCCCCCTACATTTAACCAGACTGTCCTCCTGTCTGCCTTAATGCACTTGACAAAATGCATAAGAAGTTACACAGTGAGAGAGGAAGGAAGAAAGGGTCCAAGTCAAAACCCCTTCTGCACTGGCCACCGGATAAAGCAGAGGCTCCACTTTTCTCTTTTTACCAAAACCCAAATTATCACCAGCTAATCAAGCCATTATTTCCTTAACGACTGCTTTAAAATATAGAAATAATCAGTTTGTCTGGATCTTTGCTTAGGGAGAAACCTTATTACTGATATTTTTAATGCTGCTGAAGTTTTCCTAAATAAAGGCTACTGGGATGTTAAATCGCTTTATAATACCAATGGGGTATGGGGGAGTAGCGGTGTTTTTAAAAAAAAAAAAGCGCTAAGCATGCTTAGACTGAAATGCAGAGGTTTCTCACGAAGTTGTTCTTGACAAAAGAAGCGTTTATCTCGGATACTGGAGTCTCTTTGAAAAAGAAACTTTCTAACTGTCGTTTATTTAACCAGGACTTTAAAAATAGCAACAATCCTAATGGCGATCATAAATAGCCGATGTTGAAATTAAGAACAATTAGAAGAGTCAAAACTGAGTGTAAACTCTGCCAGCCGCGCTGGACCGACAACTTGGACCCAGTACCATCCACAACTCCGCGGGGCAGAAAACAGTCTTCAGCCAGGCCAGATATTCTCCCACATTCTCTGTCTCTGTCCCTCCTCTTCGTGTGCCTCTGCCTGTCCTCTCTGTCTCTCTCTCTGTCTCTCCCCACCCCCAGGAGGCTAAAGTGAGGTTTAACTACCCCCTTGAAATAAAATTGTGGAGACAACTTTTCCTTTTCTTTTTACTCACCTTTTCTTATGTGACGAGTAACTCAGCATCAAATGAAGTAGATATTTGTAATCTTGGAGTTCTTCTAGGGAGGAAAAAGAGGGGGGAGGGAGGAGGGGAAAGGACCCTATGGTCTTTCAGGTTCCAGAGGGGTCGGCTGTCTTAGGCTAGAAGCCAGGCAGAAAGAAAGACAGAAACCCTAGACTAGACTCTGCTCCCAGAAGCTCCCCAGCCCACCGTCCGAGCTTTGGCCACTGGAGCCAAACACGCGCGGGCCGCAGCCCCTCTCCCGGCGCGCTCTCCGCTCCTCTGCCAGCCCCTCCACACTGTCTTTATATGTGAGGGCCGATTTCCCGCAGACATCATTGTTATGATGGCTCATTTAATCAAACTGTTTAATTGCTCTGGTAATCACTATCATCATCACAGGTGCTCAATCATTCATCATTTTTGGAGGGCTTTATTGACCTCCGGAGCTCATTCCCCAGCCCTAGGAAAACGAGGCCAAATTTCCTCAGACTCTGCAAGGAGTCTCGGCAGGCAGTGGTCTTAGCTAGTTTGGGATGCTCAGAAGCTTACGAAGAAACCAAGATGCAAAGGGAGCCAAAAAAGAGCCTTCCCACCCCTCTCTTCTCTCTCTCTCTCTCTCTCTCTCTCTCTCTCTCTCTCTCTCTCTCTCTCTCTCTCTCACACCCAAGAACACACACACACTTTACTCTTCCTAACCACTCCCATCCACCCCCGCCCCCACGAGAAAGTCCAGTCCAAGCCACCGGAGCAGGAGGCGCTGCTTTCTACGTTACAGAATGGGTTCAGAGTTGGGAAGGGAGGCCGCGGTGGAACAGCAGTCCCTTAGTCTGTTTGCAGTTCTCTGGGCCTCGGGCGGGGAACCCTGGGCGAGGGTGAGAAGTTGGGGAGAGGGCGCGCTCTCAGTGCTTGGCTAGGTCGCTCAGCCAGCTGCCGGGTGGCGGCAGGGTGAGCCCGGCTCCGCGCGCCGGGTGACCAAAGCTCCGCCCCCAGCTCTCGGCTCTGCCTGATTGACGCGCAGCCTCCGGAAAGCAGCGGCGCAGAGGTAAAGCCAGCTGGAACTCTGGCCAGGGATTGAGCGGGACCCTGGCCAGAACTAGTTTCTACCAAAACCTTGTCGGGTATTTACCTTTCTAACCCCACTCGCCTCCTTTTTCCTTTGGGGAAAAGTTCGTTAGGAGCCAGTCCCATCGTCCCCACCCAGCGAAATCCGCCCGGTGTAATTAACTCGGCCTTTAGCCCTGGTTACAACCGAGCGGCCGCTGAGCCCAGAGCAACCACAACAAAGCTGGGAAGCGAGCGCTAGCCACTCCTCGCAAGTATCTTCTCCTTCAGTTGCTTTTTAATCTCTCTCCTCCAGGGCTTCCCAGATCCAAGATTCACTTTGTAGGCGCACACCGGTCGCGCGAGTTCGCGCGCGTGCACACACACACACACACACACACACACACACACGCACACTTCCCTTGGCTACATCGGTAAACAACAAACACCAAACAACTCCCTCTCGGCTAACTCCTACCTCACTAACTCTCGTCCCACTTCCTCCTTCCAGATTGCGCCCAGGACCCCTAGACTCTCCGAGGTGGTCCACTGTCTGCAGCTCACCGAGGGACTAGGCTCGGAGTTAAGCTGCTCCCATCCTGTACTAGAAAAAAATGAATATTGACAACAAGGGCTCTGCATCTGCACAAGAAAGAAAGTGCTACTTAACAACAGCAGCAACAACAAATTTAGCCCGGCGGTGGTACAGTCGGCTGAGCTTGCTGATCTAGGTTGTTAGCAGGAGACTTCGGGACCCAGTAATCCGCGGACAGAGGAAGGGGGCCGCGGAATTAAAAGGAACAAAAGCCAGAGCGCCATGCCAAACATCCCCAACGCGACCCAGTTAGGCAGGAGCCAAGAGGAGTGGTGGGGAAATAAACTAGAAGTAAGTTTAAAATAAAAATATCTGAGGCTGTACCGTACTTTGCCTGTGGCTTTCTGCAGTTTTCCTGTATGTGATCTCCCTGTCCTCTTCCACATCTCTCTTCCTCCCCCCTCTCCAATCACGCGTGTTCTCTCTCTCTCTCTCTCTCTCTCTCTCTCTCTCTCTCTCTCTCTCTCTCTCTCTCTCTCT